TTTTTTTTTTTGAAAAAAAAAAAAAAATGTTTGGTATTTATAAAACTTAGTTTTGAGTTGAAAGGTTTGGGGGGAGTTTGGTTATTTTACATTGGTTTGTTGTTTTTCATGAATTTTTTTTTAAGTTTTTGTGGTTTTTGGTATTTGTTTGAATTAAAAAAAAAAATATGTTCCTTTTCTTTTATAGTGTGAAAAATGTGGGAACAAGCAAATATTGTGTAAGATTGGTTGTTTTGTGATTGCATTAGTTTCATAATGTAAATCATGTTGTGTATTGAAGTTGATTTATTCATACTCTTATGACTTCTTGTTTTTCTTTCTGGCATTACATTATTGAAGTTACCAAATTCTTGCATGTGTGTCTAATTTCATTGCAAAAGTGTGAATTGTACCTGTTTGTATGTTTGTTGTGTATATGGCCAAACCTGTCTAAGACTTTAAGCAACAATGGAATATAGTATAGAACAATTTCTTGAATGTTTTTATGTGTATCTCATTCATTACAAAGGTACATGTCAAGTGGTTTTGTTTTGGATCTTTTGGAATCACAACCTATCATATAGATAGTGGACCACATGCAACTTTGGGTACACTTGCACAACAATAAGTTAAGTTCATCTATTTGAATTCTTGTACTAGTAGATTTCACCCTATTACACACCCGTTCTAAGACCAACTCCAACCCTGCGTTGGAGTAGAGTATATGGCCAGAGTTGTGTCAATATTCTTCTCCAATGCAGCGCCACATTTTAACGCCAATTGAGAGAGATGAACAGTGTTGCGCCACATGTGGCGCAACACTGTTCATCCGCGCTATATTTTTTTTTTTAATATTTACATTCTAGACCATATATGGTCTAGGGTAAAATGTAAAGCAATAATATATTTAATGTAAAAAATAAATAAAAAAATAATATATTTAATGTAAAGTAAAATGTAGAGATAAAGGTTGGAGATGAATGTTCAACTCTACTCTAGAGTAGAGTAATGTCCGCACTAGAGTAGAGATAAGGGCTGGAGATGGCCTAAGTCGTCAGATCAATATACAACTGCACGAATATGTTTGTATTGTGTGTGTGTGTGATCTGACGGTTCGAAATCATGCACGCTTATGTTGTATTGTATGGTGTGATCTGACGGTTCAAAATCATGTGAGTATGGTTGTAAATCATGCACGTTTATGTTGTATTGTGTGGTGTGATCTGACGGTTCAAAATCATTTGAGTATGTTTGTATTATCAATTGTGTGCATGTGATCCGAAGGTTCGAAATCATGCCCGGATAGTCGAATTAGCCCTTGAACTAACAATTATATTTATAAATTATGGAATTTTGTTTGTGTTTTGTTGGTTAGGCATGTCAACTTTAACTCTTAACATCATATTTTATGAATAAAAATACATATTTCTATAGTGAACTTGTCATTTGTTTTACAATGAACTGATAAAATGTTTTACTTGTATTCTATATGATATTGCAATATAAAAAATACATTTAAAATATTTTATCATGAATTGTAAAATTAACGAGCTCAACGTGCTCTTTGTTATGATTTCTAGAATTGTTTTATGCTATATTAATTTTAAAATAAAAGGGGAAACCCAAAAATAAGAGTGAATTATAATTTTAGTCATGTATGTTTCACTACTAACTTTTTCGTCCTCTACGAATTGCGTTTCTGATTTTCGTCTCGTATGTTTGAAAAAATGTTACACAGTGGTCCTTTTCATACATAAGAGACGAAATTAAAATATTTTTTTGCAAAACATAAAGGACTTTTTTGCTGCGACCTTTTTGTAACTTTTTTTCAAACATACGGGATGAAAATTAAAACACAATTCCAAGAAGACGAAAAAGTTAAAATAGTTAAACATACAGGACTAAAATTATAATTTACTCCAAAAATAACAATACCCTTTTGATTTAAGGACTAAGGACACATTTGTAATTTTAGAAGATAATTGGACACTATCTTAATTAGGTCAAAGATAAGGGTAACTATTCTAATTACCCCAAGCATGAAATCATGATTGATGAATTTTAGTGGGAATTCATGAGATGTTTCAAAGATGCTCATTTTCCTTGAGAAAAACTAATGCAATGAGGCATTCCTATTATTTTTTAAAATATATAAAGAATAAAATAATTCTCAAAAATTTCAAGAAAAAAGATAAAAATAAAAGTGACTATGTGAGCAAATACAGTTTGATAAGCACTTTACAGAAAGCAGCAGACAAAAATACTTTGCAGAGTGCACATACAAAAAAATAATAATAAATAAATAAAAACAAAATTATTAAACAGTCATATATTATATTTCTTTCTTTTTTTTTTTATATAATAATTATGTTAAGATTCCTTTAGGTCTTTTCATGATTCCATACTATATCTTAATATCAAATCCTGCAAAAAAGTTTGCCTAATTACAGTTAGGCCTCTAATCATTTATCCCACCAGCTAATTTAAATAAAAAGCTGTCCTCATGATCATTTATATATCAGCTCAGTTAGCTCAATCACAAATTTTTTGAGAGAGAGAAAAAAAAACAAAAAAAAAAAAGACTCCAAGAATTTGCTTTTAGGTGATCCAAATGAAAATGAATATATAAATTTAATTTACTAAATTTTATTATCCAACTATTGCACATTGTGGTGTGCATTTTTGTACTTTAAATCTCAATATTTGGTAAATAATTTCCTAATTTTAGGAGAAATTAATGTTGTGTACAATATTGGAAAAGGGGAATAATTGTCATGGTCATTTTCTCATGGATTCTTAAGTACTTTTTTAAGAAGGATTGATTGATTGGAAAGAGGAAATTTGTATTAAAGCCCATGCCTTGTGGTATCTCTTTTCTTCTTTCAATAAAAAAAAAAAATCATCTTTTTTTCTTAAATTTCAGAAAGAAAAAAGAAAATATTAATTATAAAGAAAACCTATTAAGATAATTTACATGAAAGATTAAATTTTTAAACAAGTCAGAGCCAAATTTGAGCTCTTGATACTCGAACTTAGCCCTGTTGGTTAAGTATCAAACCGATAAACGAGCTCGAACTGGAGCTTGGTTCGTTAACAAGAAGTTTTAAAAAAATTATTTATCAAGGCTAATGAGCCAAACCAAACTCAGCTCATTAACTGATGGAGCCACGAGCGTTTCTTTTCGTTTAACAACTCTATGAATCGTATTTATTTATTTATTTTTTTAAAACGATAGATTCATTGAATTAAAACACATAATTACAGCCGACTGAATAGCCGAAATGGGAGGACTACACTAGGCAGCCTAGAATCAACAACACACACCACAAGACTAAACAGAAAAATAAAACTCCCCACAAGAGAATACACAAACTCCCCAAAGGAGTATGAATCGTATTTAATTTGGGATGGGCTCATGTCCCCTATATTTGAGTTGGGCCGGGCCGGGTCAAATTTGATTTTGGACAGTCATCCGACTTCTTCAACTGTTTAATTGGATCTTTGAATTCAAATGAAAAGAAAAGGCCAACTGTGAAAAGGATAAGCCAACAGCAATGAGTTGCTTTGGCGCATGAAAGACGGAGGCTATTAAAAGGTCCCACACCCATTAAAAACAGTTGAATTTTTTATTACATAAAATTCTTGTTTAAGTCTACCTAATTGATCAATCACAATTTTTTTTTTTTTAAATAAAAATACAACTTTATGTTATACAATAAATACCATTTTAAAGTAATGAAACTGGAGTTTGAAATGATGCATAAGCTAACCAATCACAATTTTTTAACATAACATACAATTTTAGGCTATACATACACTAATTAATTATCTATATCAATTAGAATACACATTTTTTTTTTTAATTTATCTATATTAATTAGAATACACAAATTTTTGTATGGCCGACTTATTAATCGACCGGTCACATATATATTGTTAAAATAAAAATATACTTTTACTTTATGGATTACAATGTTTTTATTTATATTATTTTTTGAAATATGATATTTGAATTTAAAATTGTGTATGTCGTTGGCTAATCGCTATCTTTTTTCAACAAACATAGAATTTTATGCTATATAGTATCATACTTGCATTTAGTTTTTATTGTTTTTTTTTTATAATATGATATTTTAGTCCAAAAATATGTGAACAAAATGTCCGACTGAACATTATACCTAACCAGTAGATTCCAATATTTTATTTTTTATTTTAAATTTCCTATTAAAAAATAAATAAATTGGAGATTGTAAGAGACAATGCATATGTTTTCCTTTTTCTTTTGAAGCCAACATAAAATATACTCCGTATTAATTAATTCCTTTCATTTATTTTTTTATTTTTTCGCTGTATTAATTAATTTCTTTCATTTTTTTTTTTTAAAAAATTATTCGCTGCTTTCTTCTTTTCAGCAAGCATGTTTTGTGCTGAAAAAGAAAATTTATAAAATATTAGATTTTTTGAAGGAATAAAATCTTCTAGCTAGATGTGTTTTAGGCTTTTAGCAAGATAAGTTTGGCCTTTGGGCAAATGTTCATAATTTATCCCTTATACACTAACATAGAGTTTACAGTTTTGTTATGGAACCATCGGGTGATTATAGACTCATGGAGCCATTCACGTTTATTCATCAATAATGTATTAACATGTGTGCTACAATAAATACACTTTGGACAGATGTCAGTACATTAAGTGGTAGATGACTCTATAAGAAAGTCATCCGATTACTCTATATAATTTTTGGTAGAAATTATGCCTATGTTGTTGTTGTTCATATTTTCTTGTGTTGAGTTATGTTTTTTTATGTATCAATTACTTGTTTTTGGTAATTTTATTTGTCAAGACTTTTGGTGTTTTCAGAATTCTATATGTAGATCTAAATTTGTATCATCGTCTATTAAGAATTTCAAAATTATATAATAATTTACTATTTTAAATTCAAAATATATTTTAAAAATTACTATCGTTTGTATTTATTGTGAAATTGTCATATATGATATATCAGATTAATTAAGGGTTGACGAATTTTTATTTGATATTTTACATTATATATATATATATCTTTATAATAAATAATAACATATCTAACTGGAGATAATAAAATTATTTATCAAGTTGAAATAAAATAAGAAAGAAAATTACACTTAATAAATTAAACAATAAAACTTGTAGCCATTTGAACTATACATATTTTTGTGAGATGCGGGTAGATCCATTATACTTTATTAACAAAAATACATATTTATATTATTAAATATCACATTATATTTTTTATATTTATTTCTTAAAATGTCACATTTTATAATAAAAGTATATACTCCATCTTTTTTAAAATAATTATCGTTCTAGGTGAAAAAAACAAAATTACTATTTTTAAAGTATTGGTTATCTTACCATACTATTAGATTTTTTAAATCTCTTAAATTCTATTTAAATGTTTTTTTAATAGGTTTTCTCTCTCCTTATCATGTTGGGAATAAAGTTAGAGAACTTAGGTCCTGATTGGTATAATGGAATGGAATGTCGTAGGAATGAAATAAATTGAAGAACGGAATGGTTATGAGAAGGGAATGAAACAAGTTTTGTCATTGATACATTTGGTATGCAGAAGTAATAAGACATGAATGGAATGACATTATCATTTTTTATTATAAAAATAAATAAAAGCTTTTTTTAAAAAATAATATATTTTAAATATATTATATATAAATGCTTTATAATATATAAAAATAAAATAATATATTTCTTAATAATATATAAAAATAAAATAATATATTTCTTAATAATATAAAAAATAATATATTTTTAAAAATATATAAAAATAAAATAATATACTTTTAATTTATATATAATAAATAATATATTTTTAATAATATATAAAAATAAAAAGTAATATATTTTTAATAATATATATCTTTATTTTTTAATTAAACAATAAATAAAAGTAAGTTTTCAATTTTTATTTGAATTTGAATTTTTCCTTATAATAATATATTTTTAATAATATATAAAAATTAAAGCAATATATTTCTAATAATATATATTTTTAATATTTTTTACTAATGTATTTTTAATAATATAGTTTTCAAAGTAATATATTTTTAATATATAAAAAATATTATATTTTTAATTATATACAAAAATAAAATAATATATTTTCAAATTATATGTAAGTGCTTTTTTTAGTTTTATTTTTATATAAGTATTTAATATATCTAATTAAACAATAAATAAAAATAAGTTTTTAATATTTTTATTTGAATTTTATTTTTTTAAAATAATTTTATTAATATATTTTAATCATTATTTATAATATATATTATATATTTATTTTTTATTATTATTTTTTAATTTTATTTTTTGAAAAATTGATTCCTACACACATAGGAATGGGAAAACCTTCCATGAACTATGGAATGACTAATCCCATGGAGATGGATTTTGTTATTCCCATTGAAATGATCATTCATTTCCAAAAAATATACCAATCATGAGATAAGGAATGAGTAAGGGAATAACCATTTTATTCTCATGTCATTCCCTCATACCAATCATGCCATTATAGATAAAGATAATCATTAAAAAAATAACAAGCATGAACTAAAACGTTAGAATTTTAGGATTTTATCAAACTAATTAGTTAAACCATATCTAAAACGACAATTAATAAGTAAAAAGAAATACACACTCAAACGACATGCATTTTAAAACGGAGGGAGTATATAGAATTCATATTTGTGAAAAGAAAATTTGGGCTGGTGAGTTAAGCTTAACACAACACTGAAACTTTCAACATTTATACCTTTTTTTTATCGTTCAAGAAAAATTTATAGATCAAAACTGTGGTTCTGACAACTGATAATCGGCATACAAAAGCGCAGCGGGCAACCACAAACTCGATTCCTCACTCGCGAATAATAATACTACGAGGGCAACCATAGGTCGGTTGCTCACTCAGGTCTCGAATCGTGACACAAATGTAAAGAAGTAGTAGCGCATCACATGCCCAAGAGATAAGCCTATCCAAGCTCAAGACTTTTCCTCTCGAACTCGACAAGTCCATTCGGATACACCGCAAATAAAGTATGATAAACATGAGTTTTGATCTTACGTACCATGAGCTCGAAGGTTGAGATTCATTCTCGAAAACCAACTTATTCCTCGCATTCCAAATGAAGTACACGGTTGTCGCAAGCGCCGCTTTCTTCATCTTGGTTTGCTAATTAGCCCCTTTAGCATCATTTATAGTCCATTTAAGGACCCATTTGAGAGTCAATGACCTATGATGTAGGCTAATCCAATTTCGAATGTCCCCCCATATCTCCAAACTAAATGGACATTCGAAGAAAAGATGACTCGATGATTCATCCAGTCCACCGCAAAGGGAACAAGTTGGGTCTATCTCGAGGAACTCTAACCGATCCTTTGTACGGAGACGATTAAGCACTCCTAGCCAAAGAATGAAGGAATGTTTGGGGGTATTGCAAGCCCCCAAACAACCCCCGTCCAAGGCTTCAATGTACTACGGGGACTTAGAAAGTCATAGCAACTTCTCGACCCGTCTTGCTTATCTCGCGAACTCCAACGATGAAGTAGAGCTTTCACGGCTTGCTCGCTACCCGCCTTCTCTATGGGGTCTATTCAAAGAGATATTTGAATAGAGGCGAGTCGTCCTTGTGAATTTTCCATTCTCACACGGATATACCCTCCAAATAGATGTCGTGGATCCACTTATACCATAGGGCGTCCTTCTTGGTTTGCATGTTCCAGAGAGTACGTGCAAGCCGCGCTTGATTCCAAGCATTCAAATCTCGAAGACCCAAGCACCCTTCTGATTGCAGGAGACATGTTATCCCATGCAATGAGGGCATTTTTCGAGCCCCAAAAAAATTGCCTACCGAGTTGGACAATTTTGGTACATACTATAGTAGGAAAATGGAATATCTCCAACCAAAATCACTCAATACCGTAGATCACCAAACAGATGAATTCCACTTTTCCGACATATGAAAGTGTGTGGCTTTTTCAACCGATAAGTTGAGCCTCAATTTACTTGACCAGACCCTCAAAGAGTCTAGCGGTTAATCGCTCGACCGTGAGAGGGACCCTAAGTACTAGAAAGACATTGGACCATATTGCCATTTAAGTATACCTGGAAATTAAGTTAATATTTAATTCAATAATTAAAGGAAAAAAAAATGAAATAAAGAAAAGAGGGGTGTAAATGGGTCCCACTATCCCACGTCTCTGACAGACTGGTTACCTTCATCCTCACAACCTCTACAAATTCTACACACAATCCCTCTTCTTAATAACCGCTAATTTCTCTCAAAATCCATTTAATAGCTATAAAACACCATTAACCTATATTGGGTTTCTTTCTTGTAAAAGAAGAAAAATCAATTCTTGAAGCAAAAGCAACTTTTTTTTTTCTGCTACAGCCATGGCTGCAGAGACCAAGGAGACGACGACTCCAGAGTCGCCGTGTGCGGCTGAGGAGGTGGTGGTGGTGGTGCCTGACGTTCCGGTGGCTGAGAAGTCGATGGCGGCCGTTGTGGACAAGGAGGCGCCGCCCCAGCCGGAGCCGGAGAAAGAAGCGGCCCCGGCGGAGAAGGCGAAAGACGAAGCTCCCGAGGGGGCGAAAACCGCGGAGAACAACAACGTCGAAGATTTGATCGATCCGGAGAAGAAAGCCCTGGACGAGTTCAAGGTTCTGATTCAGGAAGCCCTCAGCAAGCACGAGTTCTCCGCCGCTCCACCGCTGCCTCCTCCCGCCGCCGAGAAGGAGGAGGAGAAGAAGGAGGCCGAGCAGAAACCGGAAGAAAAGCAGGACGAAGAGCCGGAGAAAAAAGAGGAAGGCCCTAAGGCCGAAGAGAAAAAGGAAGAGGAGCCGAAAACCGAAGAAAAGGTCGAAGTTTGTGAAGAATCTCTGCCGGCGCCGGCGGCGGAGGAGGCGGTCGAGAAGAAGGTCGAGGAAAAAGTGGAAGCTGCTGAGGAAATCAAGGAGACCATCATCGTTCACGAAGTCACCGCCCCTGCGCCGCCTCCTTGCGAGGAGCAGGAGCCGGCCGCCGCCGCCCCACCGGCGCCGGAGGAGGTCTCCATCTGGGGCGTCCGCCTCCTCGCCGACAAGAAGAGCGACGCTATCCTCCTGAAATTCCTTCGGGCGAGGGACTTCAAGGTGAAGGAAGCCTTCGCCATGCTCAAAAGCGTGGTTGCGTGGAGGAAGGAGTTCAAAATCGAGGAGCTCCTCGACGAAGAAAATATCGTCGAGGGCCTCGAAAAGGTTGTGTATATGCACGGTGTGGATAAAGAAGGGCACCCGATTTGTTACAATGCCTTTGGTGAGTTTCAGAACAAGGAATTGTATGATAGCACTTTTGCTGATGCTGAGAAGAGGGCCAAGTTCTTGAAGTGGTACATTCAGTTCTTGGAGAAGAATGTTAGGAAGCTCGATTTCGGCCCGGATGGGATTTGCACGATTGTTCAGATAATCGATTTTAAAAACTCACCGGGGCTCATGTTGTTCAAGAAGGAGCTTCGCCAGGCTACTAACCAGGCTCTTCAGCTGCTCCAGGATAATTATCCTGAATTTGTGGCCAAACAGGTATCGAGGGAATACAGTTCTTGTTTACTTTTACACTATTTAAACTGTCAATTCAATTCAATGGTTTTTTTTTAATGAATTCTTATATTGTCTGGGTTTAAAAATCCAATCTTTGTGTGGTTTGCTTGTTCCATTTTGATATACTTTTACACTATTTGAACTGTCAATTCAATTCGATGGTTTATTAGTGAATTCTTATCTAGTCTGGGTTTAAAAATCCAATCTTTGTCTGTTTTTGCTTGTTCCATTTTGATACTTGTGGCCTGCTGTATTTCATCGATTTGAGAACAATAGCTTTAATGAATTCTTATGTAGCATGTGTTTAAAAATCCAATCTTTACCTGTTTTGCTCTTTCCATTTTGATATACTTGTGGCCTGCTGATCTAAATTTCATCGATATCTGCTACACTATGTTTTATGATTCTAATTATTGTTTTGAAGGTTGTGATTGAATTGATCCTGTAATTTTAAGGTTTCTACCGTTTTCTCGGTGGGATTTTGTTGAGAGTTCTTGAATTGATCCATTGATTGTTTGTGGTTTTCTGAAGGTGTTTATCAATGTTCCTTGGTGGTATTTGGCTTACAATCGGATGATTAGTCCATTTTTGACTCAAAGAACCAAGAGCAAGTTTGTGTTTCCTGGCTCTACAAGAACCACTGAGAGTCTCTTCAAGTATGTAGTTTTTCTCTCTTTCTCAAATTGTTTTCCCATTTTTTTTTCTAACTTTGTTTTGTGAGTAAATTGATTGTGTAATTTGGATGTTTATGTTTATGTCCTCAAGATACATAGCGCCCGAGCAAGTACCGGTTCAATATGGTGGCCTTAGCAAAGAGGGCGATCAAGTATTCACCACTGCTGATCCTGCAAAAGAAGAAATTATCAAGCCAAATTACAAACACACCATTGAATTTCCAGTCACTGAGGTGCTCAAAGAGATTGAAAATTTTGTTGTTATTTTTAATTTCTAGGATTACTTGGAAAAAAAAAAGTCTAAAATTTGTTCAAGACTAATTACAAAAACCCGCATATTTTCTAAAATTACACGCCGACCCATGATCGAGACTTGCTCACATCAGGGCCTACCGTGTAGTTGTGATGAAAAGTCGACATTTTGCAATCACCCTCTAAACATATTGTTCTTTTTTGTTCTAATTGTTGATAATTGAATTTGGATCATCGTGTGATTTTTGCAGGCTGGCACGTTGCTTTGGGAGGTTAGAGTCATAGGATGGGAAGTTTCGTATGGGGCTGAGTTTGTACCGAGTGCTGAGGGTGGATACACTTGGATTATACAAAAGGCTCGAAAAATCGGGCCTTCTGATGAACAAGTCATAAGCTGCAGCTTCAAGAATGGCGAAGTTGGAAAAGTTGCGCTAACGTTGGATAATAAAACTTCTAAAAAGAAGCATCTCATCTACAGGTCCAAGACCAATAAGCCCTCTGAATGAAACACAAAAATAAAGAGGGTTCCTTTGTTCTTTCACTATATTATTCTTTTTTGTTTTCAAAATATGATTGGTAATTTGGTATGATTGAACTATAGTTTTTTTTTTTATAAAGTATGGGGGAGTTTGTCTATTTATTATACATTTGTTTGGTGTTTTTAATGAACTACTCTTTTCTTTGGATTGTTTAAGAGAGTTATTTGCTGTAAATTATCTGTAAATTTGATATGTTGCAATTGGCTCTGTAAATTTGATATGTTTAACTATATTTTCCATGTGTGTTTAACTATATTTTCCATGTGTTTAAGATATGTTGACAATTCTCCTGGCATAGTGCTAATAATGGACTAGATCAAAATGGTTCAATTTCTAGTGCTTCTTCTATTAGTGAAGTTTCTAAGAAAAAAATATAGCAAACGATGCAATGCACCTTCGGTCGTTACAGAAACAACCTCCTTGTATAATTACAAGGGTAAGGTCTGCGTACAATTGACCCTCCAGACTCCATACCAGTTGGGAATATACTGGGTATGTTGTTGTTATTGTAAGATAGTGAATTTGTAGCATTCTTATTGCTTTCTTTCTGCTTGGGCAATTTTTGTTGGAAAATGCTACTCTATCAAATTATTGACATTTTTTTTTTTGGGAAAATTGGGCAAATGTTACACTAAATTTTTTTACCATCCGAATTTATACATTAACACAAGATTAATAGGGTGTGAGTTGATCCAACGGTATAATAAGAGTCAAACATATAATAAACCTTTGTGTTAGTATTTTTGGATTTTGAAGGTAAAAAAAAAAAAATGTCAAATCTTTATGATGTGCAGATATCTTATCATGTTCATTTTTTTTATTGTCAATTTCTAAATCAGCACCATAATATTTTGAAATTTTGTTGCAATTGTGTTTAACAAACATTGAATTTATTTAATTTTTTCTTTATCATTGTATAAGCAAATAGTTTAAATGGGCACTTTATTAGAAAGCAATAGACAAAACGTGGTGTCATGTCATTAAGCACATTGCTCAAAGAAAATGAGTCAATGTTCAATTACACATTTTAATGTTTTGAAAATAATAATAAAAATAAAAATTAAAACTAACTTCATTCTTTTTAAATAATGTAAAATTGAAAAACAAACATGGAGGGAGCATGCCTAAAAGATTCCTTAGAGGTCTATTCTAAAATTCATTTTAATAATTAAAGTTTGCCCTCAAGGTTAGGTCTCTAATAATTATTCCCCACCAACTATTAATTAAATGAAAACCTATTCTTCACAAACAATTATCTTCTCAATATTTATTTATTTATTTATTTTTTTCAAAATATGCT